CTTTTATCCTGTTCATTGGCTGATTCGTTTATATATTTCCTTGTTTGTTTGAGCTCTACTTCATCACTATTTGTGCCCATGTTTGAATAGACTGCGATGGTCTGTCGGTTGCCTCCAGTATAATCTCCCTGGCAGATTGTGGAAGAATAAGGAGAGAGAAGATGCTGAGGTCTTTTTATTAACCTACACATATGATTGTGCTGCCCACTGACCAGCCCTAGCTAGGAACCCTGTTTACTTTTACATTAAGGCCTAACTATAGACCCAAAGAGACATGCAGGCCAGAGGGCTGTAACAATCATTTCACCATAACACTGTGTTCGATATGAACTCCTAACTCACAGATTCCAAGTTCCTAGTCAGAAATTTCAACTGGAACGCCCCCTGAAGTCGAAATCCTGACTAGTGACCTCAGAGGAATCGACACAACCCCGAGCTCAGAATTCAAGATGGCCGTGCCCTTTATCAACAAAAGTGAAACCCGTACTTTTATACTGTTTATAAGCATTTACATTTTATTTGTAGCTAATTAAATTGATTGTACATGCAGTATTGTCCAACTGCCATCTGTGAACGTGTTGCTATGGTGTTTCATGCACAAAAAAAATGCATAATGTGTTGTTATCAATTGATATTGTTAACAATGGCTAACAATTTACCCGACTAGAACTGGAGACTGTTTCAGAAAGCTAGATTTCTTCGTTTGATTAATAAAATCCAGTAGTTATCATTTAAGTTTCAGTATTTATAACATAAATACCACATTTATTCAGATCTGGATCACCAACAATTTTAATATGACTTTTGGCAAAGAAACCCATTGTTTGATTATTTATACTGATTATTTAACAGGATAAACTAGTTAATTAACAGGCACCTTTCCATTAAACGTGTTCAAACTGAAGCCTTAGTCTGACCATGATCTCATGAGTCCAAGAGAATGTATTTATTTGTTATCAGAACAGAAACATCCATCCCAGGAAAAGACAAGCTACTGTCTACTCGTTCTAAATGGATATACAGCATTGTGCAGGTGAACCTGCTTTTTCCAGTTATATGCTGAGGATTGCAATTTAAAATGCACTTTTCAATTAATAGGTTTCCAATTCAAGCTCACAGGAAGTCAGTCTTTACAGTAATCCTCATCCTCCTGCCTCAGATGTGATACATAAATATAGACAGTTATACAAATAGAACTTCTGTTTAAATTCTCAAAGATGATGGGATTTGCAAAGTTAAAAATGCTGAATTCATGATAAAGGTTATTCCTCATAGCTTGCGTGTGCCTGTATGGCTTCTGAATGAGACACTGAGTGTTTCAAACAGTGTTTGTTTAAATGCACGTTTACCTTTGATCAGGAGGAATAGGTCCCCCTCTGAAGTGCCGTGGATGCTCCATTGACCAGTCACTCTTCATGGAAACACAGCTGGGTACAGGTGAGCCTGCTCTCTCCATCGGGCCCCTGTGGGCAACGAGAGGAAACAAATCCTCATAATATAAATATAATTCATATAATGTGATACATGTAGCAAAAGCATGAATGGGACTCAGGAGGTGGATGGACAATTTAAATTTGGAGGTACGGTGACAGTGCGACCGGTACTGGTGGGGAAGGTGAAGATGCCACCTTTCCCCATACCTCTTCAAACAAGGTAGTGAAATTGTAGTGATACCGAATTTCCGGAGGGTAGCA